GCTGTTCATCTAACACTGTACTTTATAATGATGTGAGGGTTTAAACTGCTATAGGTTTGGCATATAAATGAGACATAATGTAATTCTTTTTCATTAAGGTTTTACCTGTGCAGTGCCCATTGATAACGTTAGAGCATTTTATTTGTTGATTTCTAGTGACATAGGCAGAGTAGGCTATGTACGTTTGTGCTTTTCCTCCCAATTGTAGGACCTTTTCAACCTGCTTTTAAACCTACTTTAGACCAATTTAATATTTATTTGTACCTAAAATATCATCGAATAAAGTTAAATTTAAATAAAGTAGTGGTTTATGTTTCTCAAAACTCATCATAAAATGTGGGGAAAACACTGAAAGGACTCCAATTGTGGAAAAAAAAGATCCATGTATTTGATTTTTAATTTATTGGATTGAAGAAAATAAACTCTTGAGGACTTAATAAAATAAAAAATAAAAAAAACAAACGGAGAAAATAATCTTGGCAGTGTAGCAAAACACTAATATAAAGTGACATAATGATGAGAGCTAACAGAAGACTTCTTGTTCAATCCAATCAGTAATAAATCATATTATTTGTCCCAGAGTAACACTGCTGTGCCTCATACGTCTCTGACAAACGGTAACCGTGCCCCCCATAGTGGCGTCAGCCCAGCGGTCTTGTGATGAGAATACCTGCAGGATAAACTGTATGTTAACGTGGCTCACATGAGTGTCTCCTGCAGAACAATGATGCCATATCTGTGCATGGACAAGCACCTCTGAATGAGCTTGTGTTCCAAGGTACTTGGTAATTTCTAAATCACATGACCAACATTTCTCTGATAACTTTTTCTAACCGAGTATTCATAGTTGCTTAGTTGACTCTTCATGGTTAACTTTTGTTTCACTCTGCTCAATTGTTTTGCCTTTGATTCGACATTTACACAGTTCATCAGCCATAGTGATACGCAGTTTGTGGTTTTGCCGCCTTTAAGGGGGAAAAAAACTGTCATCAACCTTTTGCTAAAACTTGCAATGAATATTTTACATTACAAAGAGGTTGTTTTTAAAGATTTGCATTAATTGAGATACATTTTGAGCATGAATGGTTTGCTTACAGTCAGGCAAGAACAATTAGATTTAAGTCCAGTCTTTCCCTTGGCCACTCTAAAACATACAAGTTTTTTTTAGCCATTCATAGATACAATTGCTGGCCTACTTTGGGTCATTGACCTGCTGCATACTTCCAGTGTGTTTGAGTGTAAGGTCACACACTGAGGCCCAGATATTATCCTGCAGGAATTTCTGACTGAGAGCAAAATTCTTGGTTCCATCAATTGCTTCAAATGTCTGAAGCTGAACCGTCACACTATCACTGCCATGTTTGACTGTTGATATGTTGTTCTGTCTTTGACAATCTTGGTTAGTTTCGCACCAAAATGTTCAGTTTTTATCTCCACAGTTCACATAACATATTTCCAGTAGTTTTTAGAGTAATAAAGATGAAGCAGTTAGATAAACTAGTTCTGTCCTAGGATCCAGTCCAGAAACTGAGGATACAGAAGCACTCTGGCTGCGATTACTTCACTGTTGGACAGCGTCACCCCCATCTCCCATATATGAAGCTGTTGCTAAACTGAAAAGCTTCTTCATTGGCATACTTATGTGTCCTGGGTGCACAATGAAGCATTATTATAGTTTCTTCCTTTCAGCAGTTGTTAGATTAAAACCAGTAACACCACGACTCCCAACAAACTCAAGAAGTATCTACATTCCTGCTGTTATTTGCACATCCCATTTGATTTTCATACATATTGCTTTATTTCTTGTAAATCCTGTTGCTGCTTTCCATATTTATACACACGTACATTTTTTTTAAAATACACATTTTTTTAGGTTCTGAATATACTATTTTTAATAGCTGTACAGAAAGACTCATCCTATGTTTTAAATGTTCCAATTTACTATCTAAGGACAAATAATTTTTTACTGCTGTACCTGTAAAACAAAAGTGCTAACAACTTGTTGCTGGTACATCTGATTTTCCAATAAAGGACCTTACTAGATTGCATTGTTTTTCTTTTCTTTTTTTTTTGGACTGTTGAAAAACAGGTCTTTGTGTTTTGTTCAGCAGTAGTTCTTCTCATTCTGTTGTAGCTCTCTGTATTCGATAAAAAACAATTCTGTGTGTTCATGACGATGTGGACTCAGTTTTTCTCTACACATAACTGTTTTGCATATAAACCAAAAGTTTCACTTTTGTCTCATATGACCAGAGCATTTTCTTCCAAATGTTTACTGTTTCTCCCCATATTTTTACCACAAACCAACGCGATATTTGGACGCTCATCTTATTTGTTACATTCAGTGACGGCCGCCTTCTTGCGAATCTTCCACAAATGCCAGATTTCTGAAGCACAAAACATATGGTTGTCGTGTTTATAGATTTTGAGCTTTGGATTTCTGCAGCTCCTCCATAGTTTCTTTGGTCTGCTTCTCTGATTAATGCTTCCCTTGCCCAGCCATTCAGATTGACTGGATGAACTTGTTTTGGTAGGTGTGAAGTTGTGTTATGGTCTTTCATTGTTTGCATGATTGATCAAACTGACATCTGCTTAAGCACTTGTTTTATACTCTACCTCTGATTTAAAAGTTTTCCTGTTAACATAAGAGTTTGATTGAAAACTATCTTTTATTCATAGGATTTGCATGTGTCATTGTTTGCTTCAGTTCATGTACTGTTTGAGTACTGAAGAATTTTTTTTCAAATGCAGTGGAAATATCAGAAATTAGCTGACTGTTTATTCTGGACCTGTGGTGTTTAATGTGATAAAAATAGAGACAGGTTCTTGTTCATTTCAATAAACTCATTTAGAGAAGCAAAGTGCCGACGTAAGACAATGAAGACGACTTTAATCTTTGTGCTGCGCTAAGCTGGGAACACATGCCAGGCATCCACATGGGTTAAAAAGTGGATGGGGCAAAGACACGGCCCTGGGCAAGGTTCAGTTAAAGAAGTGGCTTTCTCAAACAAAGACCCTAACTGTTGGCAGCGTATCCTGACATCAAGTGACACACCATAAAGAAATAAATACAGTTTTTACATAAAACAACACAAATTTGAAAAGGATCATTGTGTTCACTGAGATTCCCAGACATGCATAGCTAATTAGTTTTCTTGCCTTTGAAAAGCTGAGCTGGATGTGTGTCTTCTCACTCCAGCAGGCACAGCAGAGGAGGCAGCTGCTGCAGCGCATCTTGGCAGGAAAAAAAAAAAAAAAAAATCACGCTTGTATTTTTAATTTTTGCTTAAATTTATCGGTTCAAAGGAGGAAATATGCTTGAGATGCTTGGATACCAACCTTATGAGGTATGTCTTTTATATAGAAAAAAAACTAAACAGTATATTTAATTGATCAGAATTTGGTCCACTTCACTGTCTTGACTCCAGTTGTAATATATTTAACAGTGCAGGGGTATTGTTTAAAACATTTTTTGTTGTTGTTGATTTTTGTAAAGGTGTTGAGAGATTTTTTTTTTTTCATTTTATTTTATTTTTTTGGCGAATATTCAAGCCAAACGGAGGAAAGTTTAAATTTAGACCTCCAAATGTGAGATGGATTACAGCGACTCCGCTCCATTTAAAACGCTTTACAGTCTGACAAACACTCTGAAGTTTGTGTATGTATGTATGTATGTATGTATGTGTGTGTGTGTGTGTGTGTGTGTGGGTGTTGTGTTGGTCTGCCTGCCTGCAGATATACATTTCTGACTCATTAATGCTGGCGGATTAATGAGCCTCAGATATCAAACTGAACTGCAACTTATGTGCAGAGCTGGATGGCAACACTCGACACCATCTTAAATTAAGTTGTAAACATATTGAATCATTTTATGATTATATTGGTCCTTTTTTGAAAAGTAATTTAACTTGACAAACTAAAACTTTGTAGCAACTAGAGGGGCAAAGATATGTCCAGATTTTAGGAAGAAAATAATCTTCACTGTTGGAGTAAAGGGTGTACAAATTACAAACTTTGGTTTAAATAATATTACTAAAGTAGAATACTGTATTTGACTCAAGGTTTGATTCATATTTTACGGGGTTGGTTCTGAAGGTAAAAAAACATTTAAAATGCTCCTTTACACACATAGAATAAAAGCCTCAATGTTTTAAAGTATTACAGTTCAATGTTGAAAAGGGGAGCAACTATTAATCAAGCTCACAAGACCAGGTGATACACAGTTTAATGGGAATGAGATGAAACCAGAAAGATTTTAACAATATTTTCAGGTAAACTTAATGACACCAGAAGTGTCTCTGTGTGTCTTATCGGTTAGCGCATGTCAGTTGTCGCATATTGGACATGCCGGGCTGAACATGACCGAGACAGAGCTGACTACTGGACATCAGACATGAACAGTCAGATCAGAAACCACCAGCCAGATGCTCTGGGCGTGGATTGATGCTTCGCACCTAAGAACCCCTTTCATTTGTTTGCTTAGATGAATTTGACACAAAGGACAGTCGTCCTGTTATCAGTTCTAAGGTAGTTTTAATCCCAAAATTCATTAAACATGTTCTTTTCAAAATGCAATAAAGACTTCATTTCTTTTCCAGCTCAGTTCAGATTTCTTTTGTTTTTACTTATTTTGTAATTGAGTTTGTCGCCCAGCACAACAAAAAGTCTTTTTTTGACACCTCTGTCAACACGGCGGTCTCACTCAGGAAATACTTCCTTATACGCTTCCAAATGAAAGCCTCAAATTCTCGTAAGCTGTAGTTACATTTTTAATTTAGCCACTCATTTTAACATCTGAAGCTCATAATAGTAGTTTAAGCTTTCACCAAACAAAGTCAAAGGGGGACATGGATACCGATTTATCAGACGTGTTTCACTTTGAGAAATATTTTTGCAACAACTCGGATGTTTAAGTAAAACTGTTCCTTTGTTGACCTTCTCCTACCTATTAGGTGTCACCGTAATCTCAGAGTATTACGTTTTCTGCTTTCGATCAACAGGTTCAGACTCATCTGGAAAACCCAACCAAGTACCACATCCAGCGCTCGCAGCAGCAGCAGGTGAAGCGGTACCTGGGAAAGCTTGGCTCCCAGGCGTTGAGCTTGCCCTGCCCCAACCAGTCCTCTGACCACGGGGGCATGCCGCCAGGGCCGGGCAACAGCGCCCCCAACAGCCCTATGGCCTTACTGACCCTCAACTCTAACTGCGAGAAAGAGGTGTGAGCGGTCTCGTTGTAAACGCCTTGTGCTTTCACATTTCCCGTTAATAAAGCTAATTGACCCTCGGCTTTTGTGTCTTGATTGCAGATGGATGATGTCATTGACGACATTATTAGTCTGGAGTCCAGTTACAGTGATGAGATCCTCGGCTTGATGGACCCCGGACTGCAGATGGCAAACACGGTGTGTGAGTTTTCTGGTGTTGTTACTGTCGGCACAGAGCTGTCTGTGAAAGGTCACAACATATAAGAGACTGAGAATAAATGATCTGCATGCTAATGGAAATAGCCTGACATTTTTGAGCTTACATCTTCAAGCGACGTCCATGTGGTTCTGCACATTTGTTTACTTTTCTCACTAATAAACAGTAAAGCATGTGGTAATTAATGAGTTCAGTAAGTGCTTGGTGCCGTATTGACGGATCACAGAGTGATGCCATTTGCCTGACTGCAATAAAAACCCTAACATCAAATCTGACATTTTCTCACCACGGTGTCATTCTGATGACTGCGGTTTGATAAGCCTCTATAATAAAGATAGATGTATTCTCTCCGTCGCTCCCCCAGATCCCTGTACCTGCTAACCTCATGGACATGTACGGTAATCAGGGCATGCCTCAGCAGGGCCTGCCCGTCAGTAACTCCTGCCCTGCCAACCTTTCTAACATCAAAAGGGAATACTCAGGTGAGCAGGAAGCAGAGCAGATCTCACACAGACGGTGGCTATGGATTTAAATTTACGATTGCATCAATTCTTTAACAATATTACCTGCCTGGGGGTTGGGATGATGAATATACAGGCTTTTTTGCACTGATTGTGTAGTTTTCTTGTTATCTGCTACGTAGTGTCTCAATCCCCGGCCATCATGCACATGCTGGACAAGACTGGATCCTGTGGAAAATTTGACACCTATCAAAGGCCAGAGGGATTCCCTGTGGGTACGTCTCAGTCTCAGTATTTATCTCCAAACTACACAACACCAGTGCCGTTTCTTTCAAATCACATGTAAAGCATTTATTGCGCCATTAATTTGAACTAACCAAAGCACCTTTTCCCAGAAGCTGAGGTAAGAGCCCTCGCAAAAGAAAGGCAGAAGAAAGACAACCATAATTTGAGTAAGTTCCAATCGCAGCATCCTATTTTATTTGCCAAAATTAACGTTTGACAAACTGTTTTGCTTGACGCACTATCCAAATAACTTAAAAATCCCTTTCAATGATGTCTTTATTTCTTATTAATTTTGATCACGTTCATTTCTACATCGAAAATCTAGGACTATAAAATGGTAAAAACACAAACAGAACACAGCTGAAACTTGAGAGGGTTGACCTCATATGCAAACACCAAGCTATGGCATCGATGCAGAAACTGAGCATGCCAGATAAAAGTAGCAATGGTGAAGTATTGAGTGTTTTTTTTTGTTTTGTCTTTTTAATGAGCAAATATTGATTTGTCCAGTGAGAAGCTGGAAGTAAGGAAACATTTCTGAACAGCCTGCAGAGCTAAAGAATTTGGGGTTTGGGATTCAAACCTCTGGATTACAGCATCAAGAATTGGGAATCTACCACACTACATACTGCCCCACTTTCTCCGTCATATAGCAGTGATACTCAAAAATATGAGTCACTGCACCTAATAATAAGTATATAGAGAAGGACTATTAATAGAAGTTTACAGATTAATGTGTAGTCGTTATCAGATGTGTTGTACTGACAGCAGCCTTAGAAGAGTTTTTCTTCCAGAAGGAATGTGCTCTTTGATCGTCTGACTGCCGACTTATTGCTCTTATCATTAATAGTATGAACTATGTAATTTCTTTCTCTCACAACCTTGTTTTTTTTTCCCTGTCCTTTGAATCCAATGTTTGAGTTGTTTCATACTCTAATAAGAAATCTGCCGTCTCTTCTGTCACTATTTTCACTCAATTTTCTTGGTTTAGGAGCTATGAGGGAAGTAAAAAGTGCCCACTGCATCTTTTTTGAGTTGCCAATAAGTGACCACACATCCTTATGACAAAATTTTGTTTAGAACGTATTTTAATTTTAGAGAATACTACATTTTTTTGCTGGCGTTTCATATCTCCGGTTAACTACACAAAGTCAACATCCTTATACTACATCATGTATTTCTTATTTTTAAAATAATGTAGAGCCATTTGGGATTTTTTTTTTCATATCGAAGGGTTTTAAGTTTCTGGCTCTGAAATAGTACAGTTGCTCTTTAATAAATCTTGGAGCTATGTTTGTTTAATTCCTCGCTTGTTTTGCAGTTGAACGAAGACGACGGTTTAACATCAATGATCGTATCAAGGAGTTGGGGACTTTGATTCCAAAATCCAATGACCCGTAAGTTTCCCACTGCTTGGATTTTGCTTCAGAAAGCTTGAAAAAAATAAACTGATTCATGCTTTCTTTGGATTGTCGTATTCTCATATCTCATATCTGAAGATTATAACAGTATGTGGTTTCTGTAACTGATTGTGAAGATATATCTTCCTAACACTGTAAACTTAAAAGGAATAGAAAAGTTAAATCTGTTCTAGAATATTCATATATATATATAATCTGTATTCCTTTAATATTATTTTTTATTGCAAAGTCCCCTCTCTATGCCGCTATCTCTGCAAACAGAAACTCAAGGAAACGTTGTTTGAGGAAACCCACAAGGGGGATTTTGCTCCAGAAAACGCTGTAACATCTGAGGCAATGCTCTTGATTTGTGTAACTGATGAATTCTTGTATTAGCTGCAGCTGAACTTTAAAACTACACGTTGGTGTATTTGATAACCCATGTTCTGCTTGGAGGCTAAATGTGACCTTTAGTGAATCAGTAAGGGTTGCTGCACAGTCTGTGGTCCAGACTGTGCAGCAATGTTGAATATTAGAACATTTGCTAGTTGTTTGAAAGCCCTACTTTTTATTCTGATAAACCCACTCCCCTCAGACATTACCATTATATATCTATATATAATTCATTTTTTCTGACACTATTCTTTTTTTAAATAATCTTAATTTAATCCTCACATCATGTCGTTTTAGCCTGTGATGTTGCAGCTCCGAAGCACTCCTTGCTAGTCTTGCTCTTATAGCATTTTAGAGGTTTGCAATCTGAAACACTGCAATCACATGTTGTTAAATACCAAACTTTTCTCATTTTTTGTCTTAAAGCAACTCTTAATGTTGAGAATGTCAAGCAAAGGCATAATGGCATCTTTGTGATTTTTAGAGACATGCGCTGGAACAAAGGCACCATCCTGAAGGCATCAGTGGATTACATCCGAAAGCTGCAGCGAGAACAGCAGAGGGCCAAGGAGCTGGAGAACCGCCAGAAAAAACTGGAGCACGCCAACCGACATTTGATGCTCAGAATACAGGTAAATATATCAAGAGAACGGAGTAATGCCCATTATGGCATATTATGTGTAAACCTGTACTGTGCCTTTCAAAAGGATTCAACAACTCTTTCATATTTTATCAGTTTACAAACACAAACTTTAAGGTATTCTATTTGAATCGATTATGACAGACCAACAGAAAATGGTGCATATTGTGAAGTGAAAAAAATCGAATAAAGAACTTCCATCTTTTTTAAATGAAATCTGACAAAAGCATCAAGTATTACAAACTTGCAGCTGTAATACAATGATATAGAAAATATATTTTCGCTACAATTTATGTGCTTGAAAACAAATGCATGCAACACATATCTGATTTTTATTTAAAGAAATATTTGTAAACTTTGCCTGTGTTGGTCTGTCACTTAAAATACTAAGAAAATACATTCAAGTTTGTAGTTGTAAGTATAGAAATGTAACAGTGAGAATGTAAATGTCTCTTTAAAGGACCTCATCTCTGCTAACCTGTTTGACAGATGGATATTGCCTGACGCATAAAAGACACACAAACCTTAAAGTCACTCTCTTGTACCTTGCAGGAGCTGGAGATGCAGGCTCGGGCTCACGGTCTGGCCATCACGTCCTCGGCACTCTGCTCTGCCGAAGTTGGGGTGCGGCCCATTAAGCAGGAGCCCGCTCTGGAGGACTGTCAACAAGACCTGTACACGCTCCACCCTCACCACCAACACCACCCCGCCGGCACTCCGGAGCAACCCAGCACGCTGGATCTGACCAAAGGCCACTCCAACTTCCCGGAGGGCCACTACGGCAGCGTTCACAGCAAAGCAGGATCCAAACTCAATGACATCCTCATGGAAGACAACTTATCACCCGTCAGAGGTGGGGACCCTTTGCTCTCTTCCGTCTCCCCAGACACTTCAAAGGACAGCAGTCGCAAGAGCAGCGTCAGCATGGATGAGAATGAAGAAGGCTGTTAGCGCACCCTAGTGGTAGACACTTTTTCTGTATCTTTAATCCCTCCATCTTGCCAGAAAACAAGAGGCCACAGGTGCAGTTATTCTTTGTTTTGTGGGGCAGGGTGGGGGTTACCTTTCTTTTCATTTTTATGTTTACATGTTGTATCGCCTCCATTTCATTCTTTTTTTTCCCCTATTGTTTGTCTTTCTAAGCTTTCAACCTTGACTACAAGGACTGATTTCAAAGTATTTTCTTTAATCAATGCTTTGGTGACAATGAGTTACAAAAATTAGATGTTTTTATATTTAAAAATTATACATTTATCTTTCGATAGAGGTTAGATTGTGTGTTTTGTTTTGTTTTTTCTATCGATTCCAAAGAATCTAGGGAAACTATAAATCACAGTCAGAGGTGTAGATATTTGTGGTGAGGTAAACACTCCTTTGAAAATCAGTAGCAATAATAGAAGGAAGGATATTTATTACTATAGTGCTTTACACTCCTTGTGTCTTAGATTGAACTTGAATGTGCCAATGCCTTATTAAAAAGTTTGTACATTATCGTTGTATTGCTATGCACACATTAGCTGATTCTGTCGGTCTTCCAGGTGAAATTACTTGCATGATAAATATTAAACGTTTGTTAATTTTATCCTATTTATGACTCTTTCTAGACATAATTTTATCTAAACATTCCCCTGAAAAGTGTCGTATTTATTAGAAAAGGACAGAGAGAAGCTGAAATCTCTCTTAAAATAAATATCTCCCCAAAATGTCCTTCAAGATTTTTAAAATACACAAATTCAACACATTTCCTTAGCATTATGAGGAAACATCAAACTACAAAGAGAGGCTAAAGTTTCAGAATAATGCCTTTTAACTACAAAGTGCTCTTTAGGCTGCAATAGATAAATTACCAATATATTATTCACTGCCAAAACCATAAAAAATACTAAATGGTTTCAAAAATTGTCTTGAAATATGAGACTGAGTTTATATAAGCAGTAATAAGACACACGGGATTGTTGGAGATCTTGGCACACAGTAATGAAACACTGCAGAGGTGTTGCTCTCTATCCTCAGATTTTTTTTATATTAGTCATATTTGTACCACTTCAGTAGCATTTTACATTCAGGGCGGGTTTTTTTTTTTGTTTGTTTGTTTTGTTTTTTTTATCAGTATGTGAAATTTTTAATGCTGAGAATAAGGAGACTGATTTTGTCTGAAATGCATGAAATTGTCCAAACACTGGATTAACCTCTGTGAACTGAACTGTAGTATGTTGGGCTTTTGTGCAGAAACGTACAATGTTTTACTTGAGAGTCGAGTAACCGAAGTACACACGTGTTGTATATTTCTGCAGTTTGTAAAAGTTGTTGCTGAATAACCATGTGCCATTACTGATATCTCTGACGCAGCACAGTCTCCGTTTTTTCTATGCAATGTTTGAAGTTGTGCCTGTGACGCATCATGTCTTGAAGTTGTCATTTATGAAGTAGCCTTTGACAGTAATAATTCAATTTCCATTTCAGTTAAGTGCCTTCTGTTACCTTGGTAATATATGAGGAATCATGCAATATTTTGAGACTGATTATGCTGGTATTTGGTGCTTTATAGACTAAAGAAATAAGGTTTAAAATCCCTTCCAAAAGTGACAGGAAATGACTTTTGGTCAGTGTGAGAAAACAAACTGCATCTCTTAAACTCAAGAACCACAAGAAATAATTTGCTAAACACTTCAAAGTGTTCAGTATTTAATGAAACCTAAAACATCTTAGTAAATTAGTAAGTCCATCTTATATATCTACCTTTTGCAAGTAGAAATCACAAAGTACTTCACAAAGAGTGTGAGTAGTGAAACATGTTTAAATTCAAACATGATTAAAAAGACAAAGATGTAATTAAATGAGCATATATGACAGACTGTAATGTATTTTTACAGTAAGTACTTTGCTTAGCTCTTAGATGCAGATTTTTTTTTTCTTTTTAATTTAGGGTCACTAACTGTCAAGCTTTACTTTTACCTCTGAAAAAATAGCTGGCTTGTACCTGTGAGCTAGACCAATGGCGCCAAAGGAAGTATGACTTGCAAAGATTAACGTTTACAACAACTAGCCTCCAAAACAAGATGAAAATGTTAAAGGATAAAGTGGGAAAAGATGGCTGAAAAGCTACATTTAAAATGGAGCTCCAAAAGTTATAAATTTAACGACCAATCAAAGCATGCAGACATATGTAGAAGCCAAATTTTCAGCAGTTTTCTTGGCTAAATAAAGACAGGAAGTGGCCAACCTGAAATAGCCTTAAAAAATATGTCCGCTAACAAAAGCTTTTGGAGGGACACAAGAAACAGAGGAATTCATTTGCAGATTAGAAACGGAAACCACCAGTGTCTCCAGCTAATGCACAAGACGGATTTATTTAAATAAAAAGGTTCATTGTGGGAATTTTGTGTGAAAGTGACGAATAGTTTATGGGATGCAATCATGGCCACTTTACTTTGACGGCCACTTTACCACTTTGCTACCACTAACAGGTGAACATTTCTGGATTTCGGAAAGAACTCTTTGAAAAGTCCTTGAGCCCAAAGACCTGTAGGTTGGAAAATGTGAACCTTCTTAGTTTGAGTCTGTCCACCAATTTGAATTGTGACCCAAATACCTTTCAAATTAAAGACCATTTACACTAACCTGATTTATAGTGTCCTTTTTACTCCCAATTATCAAATGCTAGCATTTAGTTAAAGATAGTGTAGACTGGTTTTAGCATTTGCTTGAAAAAAAAAAATAAAAAACGGCAACATAATTGAACCACTGTTTGTTGTTGTCTTTAAATACAGCGTACATATGTATTTATTACTCAACACTTTTAAGCTTCAGATATTGCTGTTGTGCTGTGTGTTCTTAGAATAACACTGAACATTTAAAATCTTTCTGACTGTAGCTTGAATGTAGTTGAGCAATTGTGCCAACAACGAAAGATGCAGTATATTTGTACAAACTATAGGTTTTGAGCTGCTGATGGTGTCTTTCATAACCTTTCACCAGAAACAGGAGCTGTAATGCTAGTCTGTAAAATATAGTTTTGGTAAAAATTGTTTAAGCAGTATGAAAGACATGGTTCCAAGAATAACATTTTTTTAAATATATATATATATATTTTGTCGCATTTTGTCATGCGTCACACAGTGTTACAATCTACTGAGTACACTCTGTACCAACTCATTGAAAGCCAGTAAAAAAGCTTGTATGTGACCATTGAGTCACTGCAGATGGACCCTTATGATTGTAAGATTTAGGGTAATAAGAATAACACGCAACCTTTCAATCAAGAGCAAGTAGCTCCTGGTTTAAAGGTTGGGTGTTGCACTTCGATATTTTATGGTGTGTTTTAAATCCACTAATGAAGAACCATTTTATCTCGGTACTTGAGTGTCTGAACAAGTTTATTCCTGTGGTTCATAAAGTGTTCTACTACTGTTTTCATTGTCACAGTTATTAAGAGATAAGTGTTGCAATACTTACTGCGCCCACTGATTTGTTAACTCACGCTCATTGGTACTCGATGTTAAACTACTCTGTTAGAAATATTAAAAGATTTATTTGGACTTTTTGACCGTGTGTGTTTTCTCTGCAATTTTAAAAATATTGCACATCTAATAATTTAAATAAAAAAAAAAAAATGTCGTTCCTTACGGAGATTTACACAGCTGCTAAATTATACTATTCCTAAGCTATTACATTTATAGGCTGTAAACATGGATGCTGTTCAAACTTTGTTAAAATTCACTTGGAATAAAGTTATAGATCTCCAAGCATATTCTGTAGAGATGTATTTTCTAATTTTATGAATGCATTTTAACTTGAGTAATAATAAAATCTATTCCTGGACTTGCCATGATGTTACCATCATGTCCCAATTTTTTATGGACCATATTTTGAACATGTAAAGACACAGAATATGGTTTTACAGTTAGCACTGCTGATTTTGTTTGTTTTATTAATATTAGTTTATTTGGTTACTAGCAAAGGTAGAGAGTTCTTCTGTCCACTTCTGAAAGGCTTGATATATGACATCGTCTTCTATCATGTCATGGAAGATTTCTGTAAAATTAATAAAATTAACATTGTTTTTTTATTATTCTATTACTGACAGTGGTAATTAAACGTACCAACACATCAAATACTGGCCAAAAAGAATTTATTACTTCACCTGCTCTTCCAAGCCCTGTTGGTAGAGGCATCCTCAGGGAGCCGGCCGAGTGCCTCAGACGCTCCCTGAAAGATTTCTGCACCAGGACCAGGGAGCATTCCTGGTGCCACACAGGTAGCTTCATACCCAGCATACACTGAATAATGCGGCTCTTCTCCTGTGTTGTCAGAAGCCCCTTTTCATGAGCCACATACACCATGAAGGACATATCGATGCTGACTGCCTCCCCGTGAAGCAGCGCTGGCAAAACCCTCTGGGTGGTCAGAAAAGATGGAAACTCGTTAGCTGCACTTATTTATAACAAGATGGATTGTTTGCAAATGCATTACTGCCAGTGTTCACTGATATTATACATATTTTAAAATGTGTAATACTTGTTTTTATGTTTTTTTTTTGTTTTGTTTTTTTTACTGTTATGTTTTATGACAAATTGTATAAACATATTCTTCACTTTGTGTTCGAGAACATGCTGATGAACATGCTTTTTGTTAGTTTGTGTATTGGCACAGTAAAATACATTGAAAACTGTTCCTTTACCATTTCTAGCTCAGGGCTGATAATGTGCCCAAAGTCCACCAGCCGATCCAGATCATCCTCCCACAAATTTGGAGCCAGCTCCTCCAGCATTGTTTCTGTGGCGATGCGCATGGATGCTGCAGCAACGTCTTCCTGTGCGGAGCCACCGCAGGTCTCGGAGGGCTGCAGCTTGGCATGCAGCATTTTTCTGCCGTTCACCTCGAGCAGCTCAAATAGGCCACGGTGCTTCATCAGGGCCATCTGAAATCATTACATCAATACGCTCACTATCGAAGCTGAATATTAAATAAAATCAGGTATGAAACTAATTTGTGACGTACAACTTGGTCCAAACAGACGTGTTTAAATAATATATTCTGCACTGCCACATGCATCCTTGTAAGAAATTAATATAAAGAATATTTTCTAATGAATGGTGAAACATCTATTTTTATTTTTGTGAATATAATTCACAAGGAAAGAAAACAAAAGTAGTAAAAGTTGCAACAAATTAATTAATTTGGCATATTGTGAAAATTATTTTAATTAGTGGAGCATTAGATGTTAAAACGAAATGATTTTTGATTAATTCTACTAATAGAAATTATATGTAATATTAAAAATATATATTAGCATCAAATATTAATTTAATATAGAATAAAATCTTATTAAAGATTCATTTCAAATCATTCTATAATTTAAAAAGTTTAATTGATGGCTGCTAAGTGGTGCCATTTTTAGTGCTGCGGTCTTGCAGCAAGATGGCGTTTCTGGTTTGTTTAGGATTTACAAGATGGTTGAATCATATCAACAAGGCTAAAATGTGTTTTACTGAGTGATCTGACAACCGAGTTAGTTTGTGTGCTTCACAGAAATCCCACAATTATTGTTCCACATGCAAGAACGTTCATCAATCCATGCTCATGGACAGACAAGCACCTTTAGCATCTCTGCAAGTCCATTGGAGATCTGCCGTGGAGGCAGAGTTTGGAAGAATGAGCTGTCTAAAAATGTCGCCACTGGTGGAACGTAGCTTCCCAGCTTGTTTTTCCCCCCACCAAAGTTGACCCCTGTTTTTGCCCCGACGCTGGCGTCAATGTACGACAGCAGAGTCGTCGGCACCCTAACATACGGCGTCCTTCGTCGGTAGAGCGACGCTGCCAGACCAACCACGTCCAAACAGACTCCGCCTCCGAGCGCGATGATTGGCTCCGAACGTCTGTCAATCCCAAAGTGGTGAACTTCCTCCAGGATCTTGGTCACTAACTCCATGTTCTTATTCTCCTCAGTGGTGGGCAGAGGAAGAATCTTGTAAATGACTCCCTTGGCATCAAAGTATTGAGAAACCTTAGAGCCGTACAATTCATGTACAGTTTTATCAATCACAACAAATCGTTTCACAGGTTCTGAGTTACTCGTGGTGCCTTTAAGTTCTTGGTCTTCTGTGTGTCCACAGAGCAAAGTGTCATTCCTGGGATCCAGCAGGTCTTTACACTGAATGACTCTGTAGGTGAAAACAACGGGGCTCACCACCGTCCAGGAAACTCCTTGGTCCGATTTGTTCTCATAGCTGAACGTCATTCACACCAAAGCAACAAAAGGAAGATTTGATTTAGTGTTTGGCATTATGTTACAATCAAAACTACATTGTTGTATTTACTATTAATTTAAGTTGTTTCATGCAAGTGTGATACAGAAAAACAGTGGTAGTGGAACTGTACTTGAAAGGATTTTTAAGGGTCATATTATTGCTTCAAATACTTTGTCTCTGAATCCTAAATGTAGGTTTAATGCACAGATGTTTGGGTTTGCTGGATGTTTTATTTTTCAGTTTTTATTTGAATTTGGTTCTTAATCAATTCAGTTTCTGCTCAGTTCTTGTACCTGGCAATATTTTATGCAATGTCTGCTTGGAAATGAATTAAAGCGATCATGTAAAAGACAAAGTGAGCATCAGGCCTAAAACAAATTTACTCTAGATTAATATTATCTGAAAGTCATATCTCTGGGAAAAAAGACAAAGGATCCAACAAAGTCCCAACACAAGATAGCTATTTTTTGTCATTGTGTGGTAATGTGTTTTTCTTTAGGGATTCAACCTAAAATAATAATAATGATTCAAAAAAACTTTTTTTTATTAAGTGTCTGTGGATCCAACCGAAAATTGAATAATTTTCTCTTTTCAGTTAATTTAATATTATTTTATCCTTTCAGTTTAGTTAGAGTTAAGATGTCCAAAGAAAAACTTCCAAAGATCTCTGCAGAAAGTCTCAAGAAATGTTGATCAAAACTACTTAAGGCTTTTAGTGAAGTCTGGTGATTTGGAAACAAAATATGAACGGCGAATGTTGGCTCAAAACATTCTGTAGCACTGTAAAAATTTTTCAAAACTGAGGTTTATATGGGGAGCTGCTAAATCTGGGGTTTTGTAACCAAAATATGCATCATTTTCAACAGTCTCACTTGAATTAAAATAAAGTCTTGCATCGTTAACATGGAAACTGCTCTCTTCTGGCAGTGCTGTAGATGTTTAACATGGTGCAGCAGCTTAAAATAGAAAGGCATTTCCACTCACTCTGTCCATGGACTTGACTACCTTAGACATGAGGGTCTGTGTACAGTGAGCTTGGACATAAACTAAATGTAACACCGACATACTTTATGAAGGAAAGATGATCATATGAAGGGGCAGTGTTTTTATTTTCTAAGAATGCCCAGATCAACGCCAACCTTCTTGTAAGCTGAATGTCAGTTTCCACTGTAGGTAAAGTTTTTACACAGATCATTTTCGTTCACCACATACTTACATTTTAGCATCTGAAAGTTTTCCCTCCTTGTCTTGGCACTGTGCAGCGTGTCGAGTCCACGTTCCATTCACTTGGACCAGATTGAACTCTGTTCGATCTGAACATTTGGTGTTGCTTGAATTCATGTCTCCAGAGTCGTTACCTTCCACATGTACCCACTTTGCGTCAAGAGGCGACTTACAGGATGCCAGTGAACATGATCGCAGCTAAAAGTACAGTAACCCCCCCCCCCTCCACCACCCCTTAGTGCTCCAGCCAACCCCACAGGCGTGTGTTACATTACATGTTCTCTGTGCTCAGGGTTTATTAAGACTTCATCAGAAGCATGTGAACTTATAGGAGTGGAGATACTGAATTAAAAAATGTTTGAATGGATGAGTTTTCCCATCCACAGTTGTTCTATTGCTGCCTTTGTGGTTGAATAAGTGAGTGTATTGGGTATAAATGGACTTACATCCTTTCTACTACATTCTGTTTTAATATGTTGTGTGTATTTTTACTGGAATCTTGGAAGAAGATGAAAACTAACTTTGGGCTGTAGGTAACAATGTATTTACATGTCGTAAGACGTTAATCAGGCATCTGCAAATTCTGCAGCTGGAGTCCTGACCGATAGGAAAATGGATGAAGTGGTTTCTTGTTTGTCACTTTTTAAAAATCTACTACTGGTCTCCATAGCAGTACACAGTCTTCCACCAAAATGAATTCCTGTAAAGGTTGTCAATCATGAACCGTGTAAATGTGTTAGGTTTTCAAAGAGCTGCTTTACTTCTGGTTATCTGGACCAGAAGGGAACAAGCAGAGGCAGCATTTAGTTTTTGATGCCCCTCGTCTCTGGAACAAACTATCTGAAAACTGTTGGTTCTTTTAAATCAGGATAGAAAGCATTTTTAATACATAATTTAGCATAAACAGAGTCTATTTGCCACTGTTTACACTGACTTTAGGAGACCGATTTTAATTTAATGATGTTATTGATATTGTACTGTTTTTGTGTAACTAACTGCTTAACTGTGTTATTGTCTTTTGTAAAAGAGATCTTTGATCTCAAGGAGTTTTACCTTGGTTAA